GCCTTTGCATAGTCAATAAAACACAAGTAAACATCTTTCTGGTATTCTTTGCCTTGAGCCAAGATCCATCTGACAGCAGCTATGATATCCCTTGTTCCATGTCCTCTTCTGAATCCAGTTGGCATTTCTGGAAGTTCCCTGTCAATATACCGCTGCAAACATTTTTTAATTTATCTTCAGTAAGATCTTACTTGCGTGGGATATTAATGATATTGTTCGATAATTTCCACATTCTGTGGGATCACCTTTCTTTGAAATGGGTATATATATGGATCTCTTCCAGTCAGTTGGCCAGGTAGCTGTCTTCCAAATCTTTTGGCATCACAGAGTAAGTGCCTCCAGTGGGACATCCACTTGCTGAAATATCTCAATGGATATTCCATCAATTCCTGGAGCCTTGTTCTGTACCAATTGCTTCATTGCAGCTTCAACTTCCTTCAGTACTATTGGTTCTTGCTCATATGCCACCTCCCGAAATGGATGAAGATCTACCAGTTCTTTTTGGTACAGTGACTCTGTGTATTCCTTCCATCTTCTTTTAATGTTTCCATCATCATTCAATATTTTGCCCATGGAATCTTTCAATATTGCAACTCAAGGCTTAAATTTTTTTCCTCAGCTCTTTCAGCCTGAGAAATGCCAAGTGTGTTCTTCCCTTTTGGGTATCATGTCTTTGCACATTTCATTATAGTAATTGGCTTCATCTGCTCAACCTGCTCTTTGTTATCTTCTGTTCAGCTCTCTTATAGTCATTTCTTCCATTTGCTTTAACTACTCTCCGCTCAAGGGCAACTTTCAGAGTCTCTTCTGTCACCCATTTTGGTCTTTTCTTTCTTCATGTATGATGTTCTTGATGTCATCTCACAATGCTTTTGGTTTTTGATCACTGGTGTTCAATGCATCAAATCTATTCTTTAGATGGTCTCTAAATTCAGGAGGGATATATTCCAGATCATATTTTGGTTCTCGTGCACTTGTTTTGTCTTTAACTTCAAGTTGAACTTGCATACACGCATTTGATGGTCTGTTCCACAATCAGCTCCTAGCCTCGTTCTGGTTGAGCTTTTCCATCACCTCTTGCCACAGATATAGTCAATCTGATTCCTGTGTGCTCCATCTGGTGAAGTCCACATGTACAACTGCTGTTTTGTTGAAAAAAGGTATTTGCAATGAATAAGTCGTTGCTCTTGCAAAATTCTACCATGTGATTTCCAGCATTATTTCTGTCACCAAGGCCAAATTTTCCAACTACCGGTGACTCTTCTTTGTTTCCAATCTTTGCATTCTAGTCACCAGTGATAATTAACACATCTTGATTGCGTGTTTGGTTAATTTCAGAGTGCAGAAGTTGATAAAAATCTTCAATTTTCTCATCTTGGGCTTTGGTGGTCAGTGCATAAATTTGAGTAATAGTCGTATTAACTTGTCTTCCTTGTAGGTGTATGGATATTATCCTATCACTGACAGCTTTGTACTTCAGGACAGATCTTGAAACATTCTTTGTGATAATGAATGCCACACTATTCCTCTTCCAATTGTTGTTCCCGGTATAGTAGATCATACGGTTGTCTGATTCAAGATGGCCAAAACCAGTGCATTTCAGATCACTGAGGCCTAGGATATCAATCTTCATACATTCCATTTCATTTCTGACAACTTCCAATTTTCCTAGATTTATACTTTGTACATTCCATGTTCTGATTATTAATGGATGTTTGCAACTGTTTATCCTCAATTTGAGTTGTGCCATGTCAGCAAATGGAGGTCTCGAAAGCTTTACCTTATCCATGTCAGTAACGCTGGTTTTACTCTGATGATGCAGCTCTTTCCCGGTCATGTTTTGAGAGCCTTCTAACCTAAGTGGCTCATCCTCCTGCTCTGTATAGGACATTTCTGGTCTATTCATAAAGTTGCGCAGTAATGTACCAGACAGTGTTTCTCTGATATTCCTTAGGGTTTCCCTGGCCAATTCTTTGAGAAGTGGATGGCCTCTTCCTTCTTCCTAGTCTGTCTCAGTCTGCAAGCCATGCTGAAACCTGTGCAACATGTGCATTCTGCTGGGTTTGAAACACTGCTGCCACAGACTCAAGCCTCACAGCAACATGTCACCACAGTAGGATAAACCAACAGACAAGTTTGTCTCCCTTAGCTGTTGGAAACCTCTCCAACCTCCCCTTACCTGGATCCCTGCTGCTGCCTCCTCGCTCTGTCCCAGTCCCCCTGGCCTTTTTCTCTCCTTTCCCCACTTTCCCGCCTTGCTGCTTGTGGGGTGTGGCCTGCGTTCCCTCCTCTCACCTGGATTCTGGCTGCTGATTCCTCACTCTGTCCCGGTCCTTCTGGCGTTTTTCTCTCCTTTTCCCTGCTTTCCTGCCTTGCTGCTTGTGTGCATGCCCTGGGTTCCCTCCCCTCACCTGGATCCCTGCCTCTGACTCCTCTAAGGATCGTGAGGCCGGCATAGGACTGGGCAGTGTTTCATCCTGCTGTGCACAGGGTTGCTGTGAGTTGGAGATGACTCAACAGCACCTAACAACAACAACAACATATAATACTTTGGATATCTTTATATAGAACACACAAACTCTCTCTCAAGTTTTATTTTTTGTTATGGTTTACCAGAATCTTTTTTGTGTTATACATACTATTCAAATACTGCATTTAGAAAAATCATTTCTATGGTAAAACTATAGTACCATGGACTTTTAGCTGTATGGAACTGCAGTACTTAATCCAATACTCATACCAAATTCCATCTAGTACCATGGCCTTAATAAACTCATAACTTACCAACCCCTAATGGTTTCGGAGGTCTTCTCTGTATTGACATCAAATCTGCCTAGAAGTACCTTTCCTTTCCTGTTCTAGTTCTGCCTCTGGAGCACAGAACAACAGTGATGCTTCTCATATGTTAACCTCAAATATGTGAAGATAACTGGCATGTTTTTCCCTCTTTTATCCTCTATTAGCCAAATGATACGGTTTCTGGATCTGTTCTGGTTAGTCTTGCTATAAAAAAAACAAAAACCAGCCATCACTGTCAAATTGATTCAACTCATAGCGACCCCTCCTTGGGTTTCCGACGTGTTACCTCTACAGAAGTAGATTGCCCGATCTTCCTTCCAAGGAGTGGCTGGTAGGTGTGCACCTCTAGCCTTCTGGTTAGGAGTCGAATGCCTTAGGCACTATGCCACCATCAATTGATATCCTATTATAGACACGATCCAGATATATTCCTGTGTTCATGATACCTAAATACTGAATTTAATTTTGTATTGGTTTCCTACTGTTGCTGTATCAACTTATCACAAACTTGGTAGCTTAAAGTACAATTTATTATCTCACCGTTTTGGAGAACAGAGGTCTAATTGGTCTAAAATAAAGATGTTGGCATTCCTTCTGGAGAATCCATTCCTCACCTTTTCCAGCTTTGAGAGTGAACTTATATTCCTTGGCTCAGGCCCCTTCCTTCATCTTCAAAGCCAGCAGTATAGCATCTTCTCTGCCCTCTTTCTTCATCACATGGTTTTGACTCTCACCCTCTTACAAGAACCCTTGTGATTACCCTGCCCCCCCCCCAACACAGGATAATCAACCAATCTCAGGATCCTTAATCCCACCTGCAAAGACATTTATGCCACGTAAGACAACCCATATGTAGGTTTCAGCTTTATTACCTCCCACCACACACACACACACACACACACAAAGTACTTCAGTCATTGTTAACTTACTCCACAATTAACCAAAACACTGTAACAGTTTTCACAGAAATCTCTACCAAAATTAAATCTTTATGTTGACTTTAATTTGGCTACAGACAGTCCTTTCTATTTAGAGTTCTGAAATCATCTATTTGATGCAGTAGCTAGTCCAATCAACTTCTAAATTTCATAACCCCCCAAACCCTTTACAGCTTTCTTTCAAGTCAGTAGTTTACACAAAATGAAACAGAATAGGACCACTTGTAGGAGGATCAAATATTTTATATTCTTTCTACAGTAACAGTCACCTAAAATCTACTTAACAATTCTCTCATCCTGCCTGTAAGTTTTCTTATTTATTCATAATGCAAATATGTCAAATATCTTTCAGAAAAATCTGTTTTATAACCTTCACTAGACATTTATAAAAGAACTTGAATTTTGTCTGTTGTAAATTGTTACTGAATTTTTCTGGCTTCTAATGATTAGTAATCTCCAGAAATTCATAAAACAAAAACTGTCTAATAGAACTGGCAGAAATCTAAGTTACTAGCATATGAGTATATAATTTCTGGAATATGCTTCTTCCTACTTCTTGAAATTGAGATGTCAAGCAGTGAAAAGACTGGAAGGCTGCATACTAGTCTAAGTAATTTCTTAAACCTTAAATCTTTCAAGCAGTATTTCCTTTCATCATTTCTCTCAATGGGATACTTACTTCCTTACTCCTACCTTTTATTTTCCTCAAGCTTTTAAAACTTGCTTTTCTTAAATATACTTGATAGTAAATACTTCGTACTTACTTTATGAATTATACTGATTACATCCAGTAGTCTCTCCTTTGCTATTATGACTTCCAAGATGATGAAGTAATTTTCCCTTAAGCTGTGATAAATATTTAACTACAAAGATTAATTCAGATAAAAAATTTAAGTATGTCCAAAAAGAAACACATACATGCAGTGACATGCTCGTTCTCAAATCTCCCTTTCCACTGATGCAGATATTGAAGTGTTTATTTCTATAATCTTTCCTTCTCTTTCATTCAATGAGTTACACTGACTCAATATATCAGACAATATTTACAAGTACCTTAAACACCTTATTATAAAAGAGCACCAAGAAATACTTAGGGAAAAATACTTTAAAATTATCTTTTCTATAAAGATGTTTTACCCATCTAACCACATCATGAAGACAACTACTCCATAAAACCCTTGTTGTTGTTGTTATGTGCCGTCAAGTCGGACCCGACTCATAGTGACCCCTCCTTGGGTTTCCGAGGAAGTATCACTACGGAAGTAGATTGCCCCATCTTCCTTCCAAGGGGTGGCTGGTGGGTTTGAACCGCCAGCCTTCTGGTTAGCAGTCAAGTGCCTTAGGCACTATGCTACCAGAGCTCCCATGGCTAATTAGTACAGAAAAAGAATGTTCAGTAATCAAAGGAGTACAAATGAAAACTATGACACAAAATTCTTCATCTAACTGGCTTTAAGTGTAGATTAGGATAAACCAAAAAGGATTACTTATACACTAGTACTGAAACCTAACTGGTATTACTCCTTCCCTAGTAGCTTCGGTTTTTTTTTAAATCGTGTTGCTGTTGAAAATACAGACAACAGAACATATACCAATTCAACAGTTTCTACATGTACAATTCAGTGACACTGATTATACTGATTAATGTGCAACCATTTCCACTCTCCTCTGAATTGTTCCTCCCATTAACATAATCTCACTGTCCCCTAAGATTCCTATCTAACCTTTCAGGTTGCTATTGTCAATTTGATCCCATAGAGACAGTTCTTTAAAAAGAGCACAATGTTCAAGCCAGACATTCTCTACTAATTAAGCTAAATTAGTTTGGTCTAAAGACTTCAGGGGATGTTTTTGGTTTAAAGTTTAAATATATTCTCAAGGCAATAGTCTCGGGTTCATCTACCTTCAATGGCTTCAGAAAGACTGGACTCCACGAAAATCTGAAATCCTATTCTGCATTCCCCTGCTTTTTGATCAGGATTCTTCTATAGCATCTTTGAATAAAAACAAAACAAAACAAAACAAAGCATTCAGTACCGGTGGCCGGGCACCATCCAGTTCTTTTGATCTCAAGGCAAAGAAGGTAGTTATTCATAGGGGCAATTAGCCACACATTCCATTTCCTCTTTCTATTCCTGACTCTCCTTCATCTTCTGTTGTTCAAGCAAGTAAGGAACCAATTGTTATAACCTGGATGGCTGTCTGCTAGCTTTTAATACCCAAGCACTATGCAGTGAACTAGGGAGGTAGAACAAAAGCACTAACCTCATTATTACTGTTGTTGTTAGGTGCTGGCGAGTCCTCTGCGACTCACAGCGACCCTATGCACAGCTGAATGAAACACTGCCCGGTCTTGTGCCAGCCTCACGATCCTTGCTATACCTGAGCCCACTGTTGTAGCCACTGTGTCTTATCCATCTCATTGAGGGCCTTCCCCTTCTTTGCTGACCCACCACTTTACCAAGCATGATAGCCTTCTCCAGGGAATGCTGGGTGAAACAACTCTGGCCATCCTTGCTTCCAAGGAGCATTCTGGCTGCACTTTTTCCAAGACAGATTTGTTAGTTCTTTTAGCAGTCCATGGTGTTCTTAGCATTCTTCTCCAACACCACACCTCAAAAGCACCAACTCTTCTTTGGTCTTCCTTATTCACTGTCCAGCTGTCACATTCATAAAAGGAGACTGAAAATACCAGGGCTTGGGTTAGGCCCACCTTAGTCTTCAAGGAGACATCTTTGCCCTTCATCACTTGAAAGAGGTCTTTTGCAGCAGATATGCCCAGTGAAATACTCAATGCTCTTCCCCAGTCAAATTCTGAGTGCCTTCCAACCTGAGGTGCTCATCTTCCGGCACTGTATCGGGCAATCTTTCAGGGCTATTCGTAATGTTTTCAGTGGCCAATTGTTTGAGAATTGGATGGCCTTTTCCTTCTTCCAAGTCTGTCTTAGCCTGGAAGCTCCACTGAGACCTGTCTACCATGAGTAACCCTGCTGGAATTTTGCAACACTGGTGGCATAGCCTCAAGCCTCACAGCAACACGGAAGCCACCACAGGATGACAAACTGACAGACAAGTTCACCTCCCTTAGTTGTTCCTAACTGCTGTATGCCCACCTCTCTGGGGCCCAGCCTTGAAATAAAGCCTCATTATTAGGCCACTAAATTTTGAGTTTTAATTCCAAAGGGAAATTTAAAAGTATTTATCAAGAACTAAAAAATTATCCACATCTTTTAAAACCAGTAATTCAATGTATAGAAATTTGTCTAAGGCAGTAATAAAATGTTCTCAAAGTTTCTCCAATGACTATTTAAAAATCAGAATATGAATTCATGTTATTAAAGACTTAGTTATATTAAAATTACCTAACACAAGTGGAGGGGAAAGAGACTAAAAGAACATATACTAAAATGTTAGTAACATTTGATGGATGAGCTTTTTTACTCCACTTTCTAATTTAAACTTACCTAATCTGCACCACAGGAACCCTGCTGATGCAATGGGTAAGCAGTTAAGCGCTTGACTGCTAACAGAAAGGTTGGCCATTCAAACCTACCTAGCAACTCTACAGGAGAAAGCCTGGTGATCTCCTTCTATCCAGATTGCTGCAGTTTTAAGGACCATCAAGTCAATTTTCTCTCAAAGCCAACACCATCTGAGAGCAGAAACGTACCCATGCAGTCAAGGTGGTAATCTTTACAGGAGCAGTTCACCAGGTCTTTCTTTGTGGAGCCACTGGGTGGGTTCAAACTGCCAACCTTTCCACTAGCGGCTGAGTTCTTAACCACTGTGCCACCAGAGCTCCTCCATAAAGATTACAGCCAATGAAACTCTATTGGAAAGTTCTACTCTGTCACAAGGGGACCCCATGAGTTGATTTGACACCCAACAACAATCTGAATAAATTTTAAAATGAAAAATTAAATTCGTTAATTTAAAATAAACTTTAGCATTTTATCTCAGATGCAAAAATATATCTTTCTTCAACTTTTAAATACAAATATAATTAAATGAAAAAAGAATACATATAATCACCATAAAGTATATCAAAGGTGCTCTAGTGGTTCAGTGGTTAGAACCTACAAGCTACTTGAAAGAAGAAAGATGAGCCAGTCTGGTTCACTAAAGATTCTTGGAAACCTTGTG